CCCACCCGAAGCACCGTCCCCAGCGCCAATCCGGCCCTCCCTAAGGACTCACCGAAGCGGATCCCGAGGGGTCGCGTCCGCGAGCGAAGCCTGTCGTAAACTACTCTGTACGGGCAGTGGAGAATTTTCATAGCGAGGGGGTGCTCCGGCTTGGCCAAGAACCCGGCCGCGTAACCGAGGGTGAGTTGCTCTCTCCGAAGTTGGGGATGCTAGACCCCCAGCTCGCAGCACAGACTGGCCAAGGGGCTGGTCCTGAACGCCCCCGAGATTATTGTTGTTATTCTACAACTTTTTGTAGAAGAGATAATTAAAAATGTTGCATTACCAAAACACACTAATGGGTTGTCCAATTTTAGTTTTACATATATTCTAGTATATATGACATTACAATTCAATTAAATTTTTTATAGTAGACTTTTCCCGCGAAATTTAATATAATATATTGCTTTTAAAATTCGAACTTTTAAATTGATTAATTAAACAATTGTTACAGTCCGAATGTTTGTCATATATTATGTATAAGACCTTTAGATTGTGAATTCCGCCGAATCGTGAAACATAAATGCTGGATTAACAATTTCATCGGTAGGTCAGATCGATTAAGTTGGAAACCACGGGTTCCTTTCAGCCAAGGTTCCAAATAATCGTTCCGACCCAACCAAATCTGAGGGCAAAACATTATTAATGCATCAATTGTGGGAGCCCGCCCGACAGGAAGAAGTGTTAGGTCGTATTTTAATATTCACGCCAGGAAACGTCGTATTGATCACTCTTAACACTAAGGAAATCAAAAATTTACGTTCGTTTTATGCACACTGGTGGACTCAGTAATTTAATAATATCACTTATTTTATCACCTTGGGTTAGACTCACGCCTAACCTGGAACCGATATACACGTGATAAAAGATTAAACACGATTAAAAAGGATTATATAGACGCTTTGGACTGTTATACAAATTATTATCAAGAACATGACATGATTAAAGCCAAACTATTACTTTATAAGACACGACTGGAACCGATTCGGACATACGGATTAGAACTGTTGGGCACCGCTAAGCCATCCGACATCCAAGTAATACAGTCCTTCTGAAGTGTCGTCCCTAGAGACATTGTCAACACTCCCAACCTCGTTTCTTACACCACCCTTCACAATGGCGTACGAAAACCCTTCAAAATGTTAGGTTGGAACCTAATCCTCAGCAAATTTTTCCGTGAAAAATCTATTTTCACAGCCTAGCAATTAGTCCGATGCATGCCTAACATTACCCGTAAGGCGACTGAAGCGGAGATGGCCCTGGTACCTCCCGAGGAACAGTCCGTAATAATTCAGAAAGCTGTGTGAGCGACAACAATAATTTCTGCATAAATGATAAAATCATATTTCATGTTTTTACATAATGTATGTAATTTGTACATCGGAAATTAAATTAATAAAAATTAAAAAAAAACTTATTGTATTTGGTTATGAGCATGGATTTTTCCTGCAATATTCAATCTACTAAGCACATTTTTTTAAAATTACGTCTATCATGTTTTTGCTTAAAAAAACCCTTTCTTTTAATTGTTTTCGGGGTTTATTCCTGCATGAGGTTCATTCTAGTTTTGAGTATTCTATGAGTAAAAATTGCCACAGGACGTTTGATAAATGATTTTCAAAATTGATCATTTGTTTATATAATTTTGATTGTGATGATCCTAAAATTTGGAAAAAGTTCCTGGCTGTCGCCAGAATGCCTTGAGTCGTGGCTGTTAGAAAATTCAGCAGTCTAAACCTTACAAGTAATAAATGTTTAGTGGTTACAATTTCAATTCACACGCTGCTATGGAAGGTATTTGACGGGTCACTAGATGATTCTATTTAGCATAAAAGAACATTCCTCAATCTGGATAAATTAACCTCTTCCTTGGTTTTTTCCTAATGGTTTTGTCTGTTCTAAAACGTTGAATTTTATTTCACGAGTATCATCTACCACATTAAACCGTATGTATTTGCCTACATTGTAACTAACTAATTAAGGTTTTTTGTTGAGATAAAAAAGTCATTGGCACGAGCGGGATTCGAACCCACGATCTTCGGCTTGATACGCCGCTGCTCTACCACTTGAGCTATCGTGACCTCNCCCGCTCGTGCCATTGACTTTTTTATCTCAACTAAAAACCTTAATTAATTGTAATATATTAATTGGTCAAGCGGACCACGAAATTAGTGAATTGAATTGTAACCAACATTTTAATTAAATATTCACTCAGAAATCGTGAGATGCGGTCCGATTAACGGTCACTAATCACCACACATTTCTACACGAGAAGGACGAAGAACATGGGATCTATGAAGAACTTTCAGACAGCATCTCACGATTTCTGAATAATTATCGATTAAAGGTCACTAATCACCACACATTTTAATTAAAATTTATCTCCTAAATTTACTTTCTTTTTCGTAGTGAACCCATTTATCACCAGTCTATTTAGCATTGGTGAAAAGAAAAATTAAAACCATTATATTGCTTTATGGCCATAGAATGTAATTGAGTATTACAGAAATTCAGATAGTTAAATAAATTTGAGTCATTTTGGTATGCAACATGGTGGCGGAGAGACGTACTGCAGAGGGTATATTTAGCCGTAATCTAATATGTTGTGAATGTAATTTACTAAGAGAAGAAGACCTTCAGAATTAAATTATCCGAAGGTGTATCTTTTAGTCACTCCGACGGACTGGAGCCTGGAGTTACGTCGTCGACCGCAATCCGCAATCTGAGGCAAAGGTGTCATTGAAAACACTCTCAGGCGCAAGGTTTTATCCATTCATATTTTAATTAAATTTTCCTCAATGATTCTTCTGATTTCACCCATTTTTTCCATTTATAAGGGCCTGCTAGCATCAACCCATTCTGGATTTTCGCCACCAACAACAAATTCAGTTTCCTTCGTATTGACAAATGAAGGTTGGTTGTTTACGCTAGTAAAGTATTTTATTTCAAAAACAATTCTTTTCAGTATAACCCTCAAAAAGCCGCTCTCCTTGTGTGCGAACAACACTTCTGCATACCTCGTTTTTCTCCTTTTTATTGTCCCTTTTGATTCTTATTGCTGGACTTTTTTCTTGCGAAATATGGTGCAAATCCCATTTTCTCGCGAAGTACATTTTTCGCTAAAACATGGAATTTTAAAAAAACTTAAAAATTACAGATTTGTTTATTGTTTTTATTTAAATGTTTTCTAAATCAAATACCGTGAATTTTATAATCGGAAAGATTTGTAAATCCGTTTACAGTACGAAAAATTTTAGAATAGTATGGAAATGATAGGGAAAATAGATTTGGATCATTTTGGTATACAAAGTGGTGGGATAATGTTCTCTTGGTTGCTATCAGGGATGCGGTCGAAAAAAGATATTTTTAATTTTAAACCTTCGCCTAGATTTCGGAAATTTATTGTACCCTCGTCAGACTCTACAAAAGGATATAATATACATTTTAATTTTGGCCAATTTAACATCAAATCTGTTGTGTTTAGGGACCGTTAATCAATTTTTTTTTTGTGTCCATATGCAGTTGAAATGCTGTCATAGAATCCCATCTTCTTCGTTCTACTCGGTAAAATAATAAATAAATAATACAATAATCATCAACATCAAATATATATTTATGTAACTTGCTGATTTCTGAAAAGGTGAAGAAAAAAGTGAAAAGGTTTTCAGTGTTAACATGAAAATAAAACAATTTAAGTTATACTTTTGACCAAAAAAGAGTAAGTACAAAAAATGTTTGTCTTGTTATTATATATTTATATATATTTGATTTTAAATTAGCCAAAATTGAAATGTATAATATATCCTTTTGTAGAGCCCTGAAGAAGGTGCGTTAAAGTCTCGAAAGCTAGGCGAAGATTTAAAATTAAAAATACCTTTCTTTGACCACATCCATGATAACAACCAAGAGAACATTATCTTCATAAATTAGTCGATAAATCTACAAAACAAAAGTGGTGGATATGTTCTCTTGGTTGTTATCAGGGATGTGACCAAAGAAAGGTATTTTTAATTTTAAATCTTCGCCCACCTATCTTTACTGTACTTTCTTCAGGCTCTACAAAAGAATATATTATACGTTTTAACTTTGGCCAATTTAACAACAAATATATATATGTATAACAACAAGATACACATTTTTTGTATTTACTGATTTTTGAAAAGGTGAAAAAAGAAATTAAAAAGGTTTTCAGTGTTTACATGAAAATAAAAAAGTTTAAGTTTATATAATTTTGACCAAAAAACAGTAAGTACAAAAAAATGTCTTGTTCTTATATATATATATTTCATGTTAAATTAGCCAAAATTAAAATGTATAATATTTCCTTTTGTAGAGCCCTGAAGAAGATACAATAAAGCTAAGGGAAGATTTAAAATTAAAATTATCATCCTTTAACCACAACAAAGTAGTGGAGGAAGAACGTACTTCAGAGTATACAGTGCTTAATCCAAACTTAAGTTGTATCAGTGCTTTATGTAATTTGCTAATCCCGAAATATGACCTTTTTTGTTAGGTTAGCAGATTCTAAATTTTGTCGAGACACCGACTGATTCCGGCCAGAAGTTGAATCGTTCACTGGAATCCGGAGGATAAAAGGCGATTCCTTGGAAATAAATATTCTTGAGCGTACTGTTTTATTGATGCAGACATTTTAATTATATACTCCTTATAGATTTTTTATATTTTTTAACCTTTTTTTCTATAAAGTTTAAGTTTCATTTCTCTCTCATTTTTTAGAAAAATCTCTTTTTTTATTTTTTTTATTTCTAGAAACTATTGGTTGTGTACAAGTTCTGGAGGATTAAGTTTGTTACTTTTGGGTCAAGAAAAAGAGATATTGATGACTTAGGAAAGAATATTGGGTGTACTCGGTTGTACATTATAATAATTTAGTTAAAGAGAGAATATTCGAGATCTGTGAGCTTATTAAATAAATGCAGGTAGAAGAAAAACGTAATATGAAAAGACATTAAAAAAATTTAATTGAGCATCAATAACAGAATGGTACACGACACTGGTAAAGTTTGGACTATGTTGGTCAACGGCTTGTTTATCCCAACCTGGCAAGGGCTTCGCCGTGGGCGGCGAAGTGTTCCAACTTCTTGGCGACGACTTCGGGGGTGTCGGCGACGGATCCGTCGGCGTAATATGGAGTGTAGTAGTAGCCGTGGACTAGCGGAAGTCGGTATCCGGCGTGGGCGGCGAAGTGGACGGCTTTAGCAGCCCTGACTTCAGGAGTGTCAGCTACAGTACCTGCGAAAAAGCCCAACGTATCCAATCAAAGCAATCCAATGATGATCAAGGATTTCCTGTGTTGAAAGTAAGGAAATAATTTGAAAAAATCTGTTTAGACCTTCTATTTATGTCACAATTTTAGAATAAATTCTTTTTGACTTCTAGGTTGTTGAACTTCCAGTTTTGTCATATAAGATCATCTCAGTTTGCCTTTCCTCTGCCACTCGAGTCATTCATGACCTTTCTTTGTTTAAATAATGCGTTTAAATAGGCATTCCAAGATGATCTAATACAGCCAAAATACCAAATAAACTTTCTGTACAGTATCATAAATGTAATCAAGAGAAATGGTTGTAAAAGAAGCGAGGCGGCAAACTGTCTATCAGATACAAATATAGTTATGTAATATATTGGAAGAACTCCCGGTTTGACATACCTAATATTTAATAAAGCGCTCTTGAACGGCCGTGAATGGCACTAGTGTGTAAAACAAGTTCCTAGGCGCGATTCTCGAGGTAGCAGTTATGTAATTGGATCGTTTGGAATGTTTTGTAAGGGATGCTTACCATCGGCGTTGAGGGGAGCGAAAGGTCCGTACCATTGACCGGTGACGGTGTGGACTAAGCCCCTTGCTTTGGCTACTTCGGCGAAATGGGCGGCTTTGGCGGCGGCAACTTCAGGAGTGTCAGCGACGGTTCCGTCGGCGTTCAACGGGACCCACCTTTTGCCACGTCTGAGGACGGCGCTGTGAGCTGCCAAGTGGGCGGCTCTAGCGGCGACGACTTCGGGTGTGTCGACGGGTCCGACATGAGGGGCGGCGAGGGATCTGGAAAAGTGCTTGTCAAATTTGGCATTTTGCGTTAAAAAGATCAACTTACCTGGCTTTAGCGACTTCGGCGAAGTGAGCGACTTTAGCGGCGGCTACGGCGGGTGTGTCAGCGACGGTACCGTCGGCGTTCAAGGGGGCGGCTCCGTACCAGTAGGGGGCGTAGTTGTAGTAATAAGGGGTAACTAATCCACGGGCTTTGGCGTGGGCGGCGAAATGAGCGACCTTAGCGGCGACGACTTCAGGCGTGTCGAGAACACCTGCGGAAGCATACCTGAAAAAAAAGTCATAAATAATCAAAACAGTCAAAAACATACTAAAGGGCGAAATGCATAAAAAAAGGAATTATCTTAATACTATCTCTTATCTGTATCTTCAAATCTAACCGCGATCAACCTCAAAAGGAAATGACAGGATCAGTGGGTCTGATTAGCAGAAAAGCTCCTATGTATGATGAGCAAGGTCGATAAGTGGCCCCAGAAGGATCTGAATTGTTGAAGAGGTATCCTCACCCGATTAAGAATTGGCCATACGTTACACGGACATTATTTTCTGAGCCAAATCGTACGTTTGCGTCTAACATTGAGAATTTGTCTTGTCTTGGTTCTATACAGAGAGCGAGTTGGCATGGTACCCAATATAAGAATTATGCTTGGAATCATCTACTATTTCGAAGTTTTAAAAAAACCTCTTCCGACTATTCTATCGTTAACCCAGAAGGAATGACATGACCATAGGTTTGTCGGTCATCTACAACGGAGTTAGTTATCACTTTTAGATTTCAAAGGGGGCATGATTAAATTGGTAAGACAGTTTAAATATTGGATATTACCACTGGGGAGCGTAGACGTAAGGTACAGCTCCTCCGGCTCTGGCGACTTGAACGAAATGGGCAACTTTGGCAGCAGCGACTTCAGGGGTGTCGGCGACTGTGCCGTCAGGGTTGAGCGGAGCCCATCTCTTTCCTCTGTTTAGGGCTTTCTCCTTGGCGGCAAAGTGAGCAACTTTGGCCGCGGCGACTTCGGGTGTGTCAGCGACGGTGCCGTCGGGATTCAACGGTGCTCCGGGGTAAAATGCCAAAAGGGGTTGGCTGTAAACAAGTGGCGAGTGCACTCCGTAGGGGAGGAAGTACTGAGGCTTGGCACTAGCGAAGGCCGCTAGGGCGCAAAATAAAACCTTAAAAAAAACTCACATTTATTATTTTCAAGATTATAACATAAGTCTAATAGAAACGTAAGGATCCCCTAAAAAACCCAAAACTTATAGCATCTACGGAAGGCTTTTTTGGTTTTTACATGGCACTTACAAAAGTCTTCATGTCGGTTTATCGAACCTCCGTGCTTCTCGGTTAAGCAAGGACTGTCGTATGACATGATCTGTTGAGTTCTGCGTGTATATATATATATCTAAACCAGATCCTCCCCACTTCCCCGCCCATCGGTTTTGTATAGCGCTTATCATCGGGGAGCAAGGCGGGGCCGTTAAGGACGAAACTGGGATCCGTTAGTTGTCATTTTGTTTTACACTAAATTGGTCCCTGATCCAAACACGCGCTAATTTTAACTACTGGGAGGTTACGTCTCTACTCTTACGTCCATACGCAGATTTTATCACTTTTTAGGTGAACTAAGGATAATTTATTTTATTACCAACTGGGAATTTTTGCATAGCAAAACAAAATATTACGAGGAAATAGCGTAAATAGCCTTCCTTAAAAAGATTTTGTTCAACCTAGATTCAAAAGCTACTATTTTAATTCAAATCTAATGCAGATAGGACTAGTTTAATAAAAGTATTTAACTAATAAAGAATATATTTGCATTAATTAACGTACGTTACATAAGTAGAAATGTGCTATATACAAAACGTTGAATTCCTTTCTAAAACAATATTTGAACAAAAGCCAAAATTTGTGCAGTAAAATCACAAACTAAACGGGATTGAAATTTAGACACTCAGACGTTTTTGTAAAGTAGAATAAATGCAATCAAAATTTTTCAAATTACTGTTACATTTACGACATGAACGGCGTTATGAACTATGCATATTAGCCATGTGACAAAATCGTATATGTGTATTCAAATTTGGGGGGTTATTGGGAAAAAAGGGCCAGGGGCAACGGTGGGAATCGAACCCACGACCACGGCGTGAGAGTCTCTCATGCTAACCACTCGGCTACCGCGGTCCCCGACATTTACGACATTTTCAAGAGTTATTTACTAATGCAAGATTGGAAGTTCGCAGGCTAAAAATTTTTATTCAAATCTAGAAAGCAGCCATTAAACGGTGGTCAAAATTTAAAAAAGACCCAAACAACTGAATTACTAAAAATTGTTACAACAAATTGAATCATTTAACTAAACGCCAAAACATTGATATCAGGTACAATTCGATTTCATACTGAAAGCTTTACCTATTTAGACATACGCTTTCATTTCTGATAAATAAAATAGAAATGTCATTAGGATTACACATATTAATTGAAATTTCAAAGAAATAATATTTCTCGGTGCCTCCTTAAAATGTAATCTACGTTATTATAAAATCAGGATATTCGCTCAACTTAGACTGACTTGGGACAAAAAAAAATCTTTATGCTATAAAGGTCATAATTACTCTTGGGATCAGGGGAGAGACTGCCTTACATGCGATTCTAAAGTAAGTGAAAATTCGCGTACATTTTTATAGGAATGACCTGCTTAGAGATCCGTTAGATTATCGCATATAAATGACCTGGTAAATCATGATAATTCCTTAATAAATTTCCCGAAAAAACCAAGCTATTGAAACATTTATAATATTTATATTTACATAATTAATGCACTAAAATTGAGGTCTTTCATAATAAATAAATAAAGTCTCATTTACTTTTCATTATAAAAAAGGAGAAAAATGAAGTAAAAAAATGAAGTGGGATCTTTTCTGTTTAACCCTCATTATAAAATTGTAAGAACAGGAATATTTCCCAAATTGTATCTTTTTAATTTTTGTTTTGTTTTTCTTTTTCCACTTTCTCTCTATCTCTATCTAGCTATATCTATTGATTTGGATCATATAGTCAAAGCTAAACATTTTATGTACTCCTGCAATTCAGTGATGAACATTTTTTATGTTTATATAAGTTTATATGCTAGGTTGTTAAATTATTAATGATAGATAGATATAATATTTCCGGGTATGGTATACTGCGCCCTTTAAGAGCTATTGTATCCCCCGTGCTCTGCCTAAAGCACATCGGTGAGTCCTATTTCATCAAGAAACTTGATTAATAGGCCCGGTTGTAGTTCTTCTATGGTCACATTGTACATCCCAAAACACTTCCTCCTGCGGGCTAGTGTAGCTCCGCAGTTTGTTAGTAAGTGTGTTGGTGTCTCTTCTGCTTCTTTGCAGAATCTACATGTGCCATCTTGGATTATTCCAATTTTCTTTAGATGTCCATTTAATCTACAGTGTCCTGTCAGGAATCCTGTTAGGATTCGCAGTCTATTCCTGCTTCCTTTGACACATTCTGTGATTTCTTTCTTGCCAAAGTTGGTTAGAAGATTCTTGGATTGTCTATGTCCAATAAGTGAATTCCAAAGTTCGCTCATTTTCTTTTTGTCCTTCTGTCTGAGGTATTCGTTAATAGTGTGTATTCCTATTCCACAGAAGGGTTCTGAATTTTTTTATTAATGATACTTGTTTATAGTTTTTTTCTAAATAATAAGTATTCCTTTTAAGTTTTAATTTTATTAATTTTATTAATTTTTTCTAAATAACATATCAAAATAAATCATTAGTTTTAATTTTAAATTGTCCGTATTATTTTAACCAAAAATATATTTAATCGAAATAGAAAATTAAATAGAAAGTCTCCTAAAATTAAATAGAACAGAATTTGTCGTACAATCATATAACTAATCTTCAAATCATTTCAAATATATAAGAAATATAATATTAAATTAGTTAAAAATAATCGAAAAAATAAAAAGGAAATTGATATATATTAAATTTTATTACAGCTCAATTTGAGAAGAATCTCACGTGATTTAAACAATACGCTATACTTTTTTCTATGATCTTTCTTTAGGAAAATGTTTATTTGTGCTCTGCATTAAACATTCAAGTAAATCGAGAGTTTTAATTTTAAATTAAATATTGTATTTTTAACACAAATGTATTTAATATTTAAATATAATCCATTAGATTTCGTGGTCCGATTGACCAAATAACTTCTTTCAGTTAATTAATCTTTATGTAAGGTATTGGTTGAAATAAAAAGCCAGTGTCATGAGCGGGATTTGAACCCACGACCTTCAGATAAAATACGCCGCTGCTCTACCACTTGAGCTATCGTGACATCGATCCACTCGGACACCAACCAGCCCATCTCAATCCACCTTTCGAATTTTTTCCTCCTTTTTGCCATTTTTCAAAGTGGAAAATTATTAATGGAAAATTGAGTGAATCGAAGTCACTATAGCTCAAGTGTTCAATTATTCTACAAATTATTTTAAATTTAAAAAATAGATATATTATTTACAAACGAGACAGATCAACCTTTTCTTTCTAAATAGAACTGTCAAAATCATAAATGTTTATAACTATTCAGAAATCGTGAGATGCGGGCTGGTGTGATGTAGGTTTCAGAAAAACATTATCTTTATCGTGCATACGTTTCGATCTTTAATGAGATCATCTTCAGGGCCTGGGATTTACAAACATTGTTTACATTTAACAAATAATTATAAATGTTTATAACCTGTGAAATTTGTGCGCCATGGATTTCGTTCCACGTTGCAAATGTATCACAACCATGGCTCGTATTAACATTTGACCGTTTATAACCTTTGTAGAACAAATTTTATAAATTTTAAACAGAGATAAAAAGACCAAGAGCTGTAGGTGATGTACTTTTCTAATAAAATCTGACCCTATCTCGATTTTTTTCTATAAATTTTATTTGTTAATACAATAGAAAGATGAAAACGTAAATCTAATTATTCTAATAAAAAAGTGATATAATTTTTTCATTTAGAGTCTTTTGATTCCATTATTCGTTACTTATTAATAAAACATATCTAAAAGCACGTAATTCGAGGCAAATTTTTGAATTTAATTACTTCTTATATAATTAGAAAGTCTCAAAATGAACAAAGTGGATGATTTTGTGAGAGAATCGGTAAAGGAAAATGTGGTGTTTCTCAGGGAATTTGGCTAGGACCATTGTTTTTTTTTATACAGGAAAGCAAAAAGAAATTTTTCTTGAAAATTATTGTTTTGCGAATAATCCATTTCTTAAAGGAAAAATATTGATGAACTCGATAAAGTAGTAACTTTCTGTCTACTAACATTTATAAAAACTTGAAAAAAGTAAAGAGTTTAATCAGGTTTATGATGTTTTGTGAGAGATTGTCTTTGAAAAGCGTTTAGCATTAAATTAATTAACTGTTATCGTAAGTTAGCCAAAAAAGCAAAAAGTCAACATTGTTACCCTCTTATAATCTTCTAATAGACGTTGAATATCCATCAAATCTTTACAAGAACAAAAACCCGATTTATCATGGAAAATATTCTCCCCGGCTAATTATTTTCGCTGTACTCATAATGATCAAACCAAATGAGCTTATGCCAGCATTTAAACTTTAAAAAAATGACATTGCCTACATGGTTTAGCACGAGGGAATGTTTATTTCGGAAGAAAAACAAATCAACGTAATAAAAAGGCTTAGTGAGCTTCCCTGTAATTGGACCTGAATCATAAAACTGACCGCAAGTTGATGAAGACAACTCAACGTGATTGCTCGAGACCTTTCATCATTTACGGTTTTCCATCTAACAGAAACATATCTAATCAAATAATTTAAATAAAGACATGCAATTAGAAAACAATTGACTAATAAAATAGCAAAGAATCACTGAATACTGATTTTTATAAAGTAACAGACAAATTGAAAGAAAATAAATTACGCAACTCTATTCATTACGTTTTAAATTTGACTGTAAGGACAAAAGTTTTTTTAATATTTGATAACGAAATTGCGGTTAATATAAAACCTAAATGTTCTAAGTTGCGGTTAAATACAAGTTGAAAAAACAAGAACCGTGAACTATTATAAGTAATTTTTTATGCTAAAGTATATATTACATAATTAAAATATGAATATGTTATTAGATTGATGAGATCCTCGATATCAAAATATTACAGTGATCACATTTTCTTTGCATTTCGTCTGATGAAGCTGTAACCGTTGGGATTTGTTTGTCTTTATGGAAAATATTATTTCGTATGTACCATGGTGCTTTGTTATCAGTCGTAACACTGTTTTTTGCATACCTTGCATTCGGTTTACAAGTGTATTGGCCGTAGTATCTCAATTGCTCCAAGAATAGGCCAATATGAGTCATATGTAGAAACGTTTTTTCTTTCCTCTAAAAGTTGTTTAAGTACATGAACCTATGTCTGACCTTTGTAACGAAATATTGAATGTGATATAATTTTGGAATCCAGAATAATCCAAGATATCAGGCTTTAGTTGAAATACGGA